CCCCACCGTAACACCCCCCCGTAACCACCCCCCCATTTCTCTTTCTCCATATCTGCCTCCTAGGTTTCTACGAGTCCAGCGAGGGTCACTCACCCAGAGGACAGTCTGGTCCCCCTGAGTCCACAGAGACGGTCTCCTCCTGGACCTGGACCTGGACCAGTGACAGGCCCAAGTCTGTGGGTGAGAACCGTGGAGCTGCTGCGGAGACCGAGGCTCAGTTGAACCTGATGTTCATGGACTGAGATATTATTTTAACTGTAAAAAAACGTGGTCTCTGACGTCAGACGTGTAGAGTGTGAGGTCACATGGTCTGTTTGAATATACGTCGTCGTGTATTTTTTTTTACCTGGCATTTCTGCCAAAACTAATGTATTCTGAATTATTTCCCCAGAATCTTAAACTATTTGCATCAAACTAATAATTATTTTTAACAATTACATAAATGAATATATAAGTCAGCAAAAGAGAATTATTTAAAAAAATATATACAAATATATTTTAAATAATAAAGATATTTATATTTTAATAAAATTATTTTATATTATTATTATTTAAAATTGTCAAAAAGTCATAGATTTTAATGTTACTGATTATTTTATTTACCTTCTGTTTTATTATTTATTTTACTGTAATTCCCTGCTGTGAGTGTGATATAAAACTTTACTAAAACATTTTTTTTTCAACACTTATTCTCCGACGTTGTCCTTCCTTCACTTTGTTGTTGTTTGCACATCATCCTTCCTTCACTTTGTTGTTGTTTTTTTTTTCTAGGAGATTCCGTTCTGTTGAACGGAGACGCTGACGTAGCGGCTCTGCACGCCAGCCTCCCGCGTTCTTTCTCTGCACCTTACCCCCCCCTGCAGGACATCGCTGAGGAGACGGCGGCAGTGGAGCGGTGGCAGGACGGCTTCAGCGGAGCATCCCAGGACTGGCCGCCCACAGAGGAGCAGGTGACGGAGGAGGAGTACCAGCAGGCTCTGAGGGTGGAGAGCTACATCCTCAGGCTGATCCAGCGTCACGTTCTCCCCCCACGTCCTTGTCAGCCCCGAACCACCCTGAGCCCCGAGCCCCCGTACTGCAGCGCCCCTGGACACAGCTCTCTTCACAGGCGGACGTCCTCTCTCACCGCGGAGCAACGCCTTCCTGACCCCCATCTTCAAGCCCACGTTGACCTTTCAGACCCAAAGAGCCACGGTTGGAGCAGTGACCCACCGGAGAGGGAGGACTGTGGAGGGGAGGGGCCGTCTTTGGAGGAGGACTGTTATTTGGCCCTGCCCTACCCCCAGTCCAGGCCACACTCCCTGGTTGGGAGACTACCATCACCTCTGCCCTCTCACGACCCTAACGCTCTTGACCTTTGTTGTGAACCCGCGTCCCCCCATCATTATCTCCCTCCCCACCCCCCGTCTCACCACAAGCACAATTTTGTAAATGCTCAGTTTATCCCTGGACAGGCCTGCGTCGGCCACGTTTGCTCCCCCAGAATCCACCACCCAGCAGCGCCCTCTCCTGATCGCCTCACCTCCGGTCAAACCAAGGCCAAAACCTCCAGAAAAGGCAGCAGCGAGAGACAAAGATCTAAGAAATCCAGCAGTAAAACCAATCGGTCCCAGTCTGAGAACAGCCTCCTGACCCAGCGAGCGCTGCCGCAGCGCAGGTACAGCACCACGGAGAGGCACCAAGGCAGACACAACCACGGCCACGTCCCTGGACCCCAGGGGGGCAACACCGGCCACGGTGTGTGCCAACGCTGGTGTTCCACCCAGGAACTCAGCCAAGATGAAGGGGAGGCCCAGAGACGACCGGCTCGTAAAGCTCGCCAAGGTCACTTACAGTCTCAGGCCCAAAACTACCAACAACGGGAGCCACAAAACACCGAGCACTGGCCCACAGACCACCAGGAGAGGGCGCCCCTCTGTCAGGGAGAGGAAGCCTACGGCGGAGCTGCCCCCGCTGAGTCCGAGTCCAGCATGAGCGAAGTGTATTCCCCGGCCTCCAGCTCCCTGTCCAGTGACTCTGATGAGAGTGGGGGGCTGGTGTGGCCGCAGCAGCTGCCGCCGCGCCTCGCTTCGGTCTCATCCTCGCCGTCATCACAGGCGGCAGGAAACGCTCCGTCACAGACCAAAGCCTTCGTCAAGATCAAAGCCTCTCACGCTCTGAAGAAGAAAATTCTCCGATTCCGCTCAGGGTCCCTCAAGGTCATGACCACGGTCTGAGGACTGACCTTTGACCTCCAACTTCGCTGCAGTGTAAAGCCATCTCCAGATCCACGTTGTGGATTAACTCACCTCATCCTCCTGTTTAATCGACCTACCTCTGTTAACGAGACGTGTCCTCCGTCACAGACGTCCTCAGTCTGTGGTTGGGTCATAACTGACGACTGTCAGTTATTTCAGGAGTAGAACCAGGGAGGTTCTATTTCATGTGATTTACACTGTGTTAATACAGGAATACAGATAACCGTCAAACAGGAAGAGACACACGGTTACAGCCGTTGGCATTTTTGGGGAAGTTTGTAGAGTTTGTTTGTCAAATGACGCAGTTTTAAAAAGATTCGTTTTTACAGAAACAATTCATTTTTAAGTAGATATTTTTGGGATATGTTTATTTTGTAAACAATCATCGTACCTGTGTTTTGATCACAGGGACTAGATTCTTATTCAAAAACAACAAGAAATTGCAAAGCCATAAAGCAGTAAAAATCTGTTTTTTTTTTTACTTCTATTCTGTCGCAGGCACCTGTTCCATAATAAAAACTTGGATTCCTTTGTTTGTTCCTACAGATAAATTACATTTTTGTTATTCTCTGAGCAGCAAATATAAACATTTCCAGTCAATTTTTCACAGATTCTGCTTTTGGAAACAGACAATGTAAATTACTATAATATCAGGATGGGAAATATCACAGTATCACTACACAATATGCATGTACTATGTTTAAAATGCACAAAATCCTGAGAATCACTTACTCTTGTAAATATGTTGTTTTTTTTTGTATTTGCCGTCACGTGGCCTTGTTTACTGAATGTAGTTTTTAAATAAATCCACTTCTGTTCTTACCGACATGTCACCGACATACCATGTTCCGAGGACGTTTTAAAAAATAAATATCAAAGTTAAAATAAATTCTACAATCCTGGTAAAATAATCTTTTTAAAAATTGATTCAAGTTTATACAGTAATCTATAAATTTGTGTTTATCTAAACAATGAGATTCTGTGACAAGAGCCATCGTCGATTCAGCGTCTTTTGGCTATAGCTCCCTCTTGTGGTCAATATAATAAAATGCTACAACTTACCGCATCTTCATCCAGTATTTAGTGGTTAAAATATACATAAATTAACATGTATATATTAATAATTTATCTTTAAACGTTAACATATTGCCATATTACATTCATTTCGAATACAGTTTACAACTGAACTCTGTCGTTAGGGGCACTCGAGTGAGGAAAAATAGATTTCACAACGTAAACGAGTCCATAGTTCCGTATTTCTGTGCAACTAAAAATACATCCCGTGTCGACACTGCTGACAAAACAACACAGGAACGATTTACAACCAATCAAGTGAACAAACGGATACTTCTGGTTTTATTAACACTTTTATCTCCTTAAAACTCTTTGTATTGAAATCGTAAAAGAATGATACACTTGAATTAGCAAACATTCACATTTACACATTACACATAGAAATATATTTTTATATTGTATATTTTATACCCCTCATTGTCAAGACAACTGAGATAATCCGTAAGTTTTTTTCTTTATTATTTATTATACAAAAATATTAATATTTCAAACTTTGAAAGACTGAGATTCGGCTCCTTCAGTTAAACTCAGAGTGGGCAGTTTTTGAGCTGTTTTTAAGCTGTGGGACAAATTCAAAAGCTGCTTCATTTGTGGGTAAATCACCACAGATATACATAAAAAAAAAACCACCAAACATTGTTCTCTCTCTCTCGCTCTCTCTCTCTCTGCCCCCTCCCTATTTTCCATTTCATCTTTTCCATTCCTCACACAGTTACAGTCTGGAGATTCTATAGATATCCTTCTCCTGTTTATTTTTTGCAGGGACTTTTTACTTTTTGACCCCTCAGTATTTCTAGCCCTGATATTTCAGTCACTATAATAAACTTATTTCCCACTTATTTTTGATAGAAACATTGTTTTAAGTATCTAAACCCCTCTGTAAAACTAATTTTTAAAAATAAAAAATTCCTGCACAGACAACTGACCAATCAATGGGATGGATCAGAACTGAACCTCCATCAGACTTTTGTCATTTCCTTGCTGGAGCCTGTGACCTTGGTTTCAGTAGAACCAATGCTCTGTCGCACGAGTGTCTCTTCGTTGATGAAGTGGAACATACTACGCAGGGAGCGGGTCACGCTGCTCTTGAAATCCCGACCCAGACACACATAGAGAAGTGGGTTGAGGCAGCTGTTACAATAAGCCAAACACACCGTTAGGATCTCAGCTTTGTAAACATTCGGATGCTGAGGGGAATCTCGAGGAGTCGTCAAATACAGGAAGTCCACGATGTGCAGAGGGAACCAGCAGAGGAAGAAGGTCAGCACCACAGCGATGATGACCCGAAGGGTTCGCTTGGAACGACTTCCACGACCGCGGTTCATTCCTCCGTCTGCTTTTTTGTACACTACGATGTGACAGATGACGATGACCATGAAGGGGAGGATGAAGCCCATAATGAAACGGTAGCAGGTGAGAATCCAGCTGGTCGTCACACCAGCCTTCGTCTTACACTCCCGCTTCTCCTCACCCGCCTCGGAATGCTCGGTGTACACAAACTGTGGGATGCTGCCTATCAGGGCCAGACACCACACGGCAACACACGCAAAGACGGCCTTTTTCGGTTGTCTTTTGTTCTGGCACCACACTGGTCGGGTTACCAGAACCAATCGATCCACGCTGATCAAAACCAACTGCAAGATGCTGCAGTACATCACCAGGTAGAAGAGCCCCTTGACCAGGGTGCAGGCCACGGGACCGAAGTGCCAGTGATCATCATGGGCCAAAGGGACCATGAGCAGAGGAACCGATAGGCAACACAGGAGGTCGGCTAGGGCCAGGTTGAGGAACCACAGTGAGGTGACCGAGCGGGTCATGCGGAAGCCCGTCACCCAAACCACCAGGGCGTTTCCAGGAACCCCCAGCAGAACAACAAGGCCGTAGAAAATCAGTGATACAATCTGGACTGGTTGGATCTTTGGGGGCTCGAACGGAGGCAAAGTGAAGTCTGAATAATTGTAGTTGTAGGTCCATGTGAGGCAAAGTGAAGTCTGAATAATTGTAATTGTAGTTGTAGGTCCATGAATAATCAGAAGGATCCATTGTTGTGTAGACCTGTGAATGAAGAAGATTCAGATAAAAAAAAAAAAACATGTCTTAGGCTTAGTGGTTGAGGAAGCAGACTGTTGGTCTGGAAGGTTTCGGGTTCTGTGCTGTGTCGCAATGACAGATAATTCACTTTCACTGTTAAAATGTTAATTAATCATTAAGACTAAATCAAAACTCAATCCAAACTGTTAAACTCAAAACATGACATATAGTAATAATTGGAAGAGGATATTTGGTAACAGTCGTACTCACGGTGATTGTTGTGTTGCCTGATGTGTTGTCAGGAGGACAGGAAAGACAACTCTTCTGCTTTTATTTTCACTGTTTGTCTTCAAAGCCCACACCCACATCCTTCCCAATATCACAGAATCATGTGTTCTACTTATTTAATCATCAATGACAAAAAAAACAAAACAAAAACAAACAATTGCAATTACAAATCCTCGTGATATACGTAAATATAAAAAGAAAAGTGTCCATTGACATATAGGAAGTTTATATCTTTTTATTTTACGTTTTGTCACTTGTTTTCCTCTGCATGACTGGGCCAGTATCTTTCATATTACTATTAATTGTATTATTATTCCTTACACACTTCACTGTTTGTACATTTTGCCTTGTGAAAATAATTAAAATCAAATAACAGCGATATTTTATGCTGTGTAAATTTAAATAGTCATATTAATTAATTCAATTTAATATTCACAGAATATTCACGGCGCTTATTTATTAAGTGTTAACACGTTAGTTATGTATAGTGTATGACGAAGAAAAAAAACACCTGCGCCGAAGCGAAAAGATGATTGGTGGACATTTTCAGCACCGGCTTATGATTGGTTGGCAGATTATTATTGGAAATTCCAAATACAAGATGGCTGCCGTCGACCGGCGTTACGCTAATACAGTTTCTTTAATCTTCAGCTGCAGTTTTGGCAAGTGAGTCCGTGATATTTAACTTTTATTTTCATTGTTTGAAACTGTTACACTCTTAATTCTCTTAGTCTGTTGTGTTTGTTCAAATATTCACTCTTCAGCACGACAACAGTGTGAGTGTTTTACCGTAACTGACGTCAACACACACCGAATCGGGAGTCTTCTGATTGTTTTTTTATTACGTGAGATCTCGTATAAAAAAAATTATGGGAACTAACTATTCTTTTTCTTTCGGTTTTGTCCCTTTTTTAAGTTTTTTTATGGGAACTAAATATCACTTAAAAAAACAAAGAGGGAAAGTTAATTTCTCAGTCTTGTTTATTCAGTGTTTTTATGTACAAACACAACCGTCTACATGCAACGTGTCTTTTACTTTGACATTAAACAGAGTTCACTAATGGAAAACAAACCATGTAAAGCTGCCATTAACCACTAAGATAAACCAACTTTATATTTTGAAAAAAGGGAATTTCACGGTTTTTTAAAACTGATTAAGTGTTAAATATTTCCACAGAGTTGTCGAAGGCATACAGTTAGAAAAAATGTCATGTTAAGAAACTTAAGGAATTGTTTGTTAAATGTTTTTGGCCCTAACCTAATGCTCTGGGTGTAATGACACCTGCATAATTTAATCAGTTGGCATATAGAGGAGTTAATACATTTTAGAGTACATGTATAAATCCATACAACAATTTTTAACAACAAACTAATAGTTTGTAGAAACATAATTATAAATATGACAAATTTCTCTGTCCACTCCATGACAACAATAAATAAGGGAAATCAAACACACAATGTCAGCAAGACCTTTTTTTGAACAACATTCAAGAGTGAATATGTCAGTTTATTCATGTCCCAATGTCCCTGTGGTTGGTCTTACACAACAAATTAAAAGTTTCCTCATGTTGTGCCATGTTACTCATCTGTTTTAGGTACTCTGAAACTAATTTACGTGTTTATAGATATTGTATCACAGTGAGTCACCAAGTTATATGGAACATGAGTCAGTTAAAGGTGGGAGCACTGCTTGGTGGAAGGGTCGGGGTGTCATCCCTGAAGGCATCTGACTGAATATCTGGGAAAGAGAAACACAAAAATGTGGTTTCTGGTTAAAATTTCCACTGAACAAAAATCTGCTGACGGCGCTGGTAGGTCTCAGTTTCCCATGAGAAATGTTGTAATACAGTATGTTCGGTTGTATGACACATTGGGTAAAGTCATACAGTAAATATATGTGTGTGTAGAAATACTGAAAGATTTATATTGTTTTTATTTATCCTAAATTAGTCATCGTCTAAAATGAACTCCACTCACCAATCAGTGTCAAGCCCTGCTGTTGCTGCAATATAACTGACGTCTCCTCCTCCTCCTCCTCCTCCTCCTCCTCTTCCTCTTCTTCATCTCCCCAGTCAGCGATGTTGGCAGGAGGGATACACTGTTCTAGGAACAGGTCTTCTTCGTCGTCGTCCATGTCCACGTTCTCTGGAGGCCAACGCAGCTCCCCGCTCTCCACCTCGCTCACTTCTGTGGGCTCCACCACGATGGATGGCAGACGCTCCTTCTCACGCTCCTGTTCCAGACTGTTCAGCAGAGCCTCCGAGCTCAAAACGATTTCCACCGGTTCAGGGAAGATCTGAATTCAAAGAAAGAAGGGAAAGAAAAAAAACAACAAGGTGAAAACTTATGTTCATGTTCTGTAACTAATGTGAAATATTGGATCTTGTGTTTCCAGTACAATAAAAGAACACACCTGAAATGGCAACCTTTGCTCCTTTCGTTGAGTGTCTTCGCAGTTGTGATATCGACTGCTCATTTCATCTGTACTCCTGCAAAAAACGTACAGTCATATTCAGAACATGGACTACAGTCCAATCACGCCTCTTCATCAAAGTGATGTCATTACACACACCAGTACAAAATGGGGAAATGTTTTAATGCTATTTTCATTTGTCTGTTTTTGTTTGAAATGTATCAGGGATGGATCCAGCAGGTGGCAGTATTACGTAAACATGCAGAGCTTCAGTGAAATCCAAAGAAGAAGAAGCAAAAACGAGAGAGACTCAGAGCTGTGTGTTTCTTCAATTCCTGCGAGTTTATCAACCGGCGTTCAACTCAACAGGCCATGGTTTAATACACAGTGAGTACATTTGAGTAAATTTAATTTAATTACATAAGCTTTTTACACATTTTTTCTAAAGCAGCAAAATCTTCATTGTCACAGTCATTGTTTGACAGACAAGTTATTTTCTGCCTCATTTTTGCACTTTTTCTTCAGTTATGCTGTTTGTTTGGGACACAACCGTCTCCACCTGGTGAGTAATCATCGCTGCACTGGAACTTCAAACACAAGCTTGTGTCCAAATCCTACCTCAATCCATTTTAAGTAACAAGGAGAGCCTGCACGGGGATTAAAACGTGGGGTGCGGCTCTGCCTGAGTCCTATTTACATCCCTTTCTTTTTCCCTCTCTCTCTTTATCTCCTGTTTTGATTTTTTTTTTAATTAATTAATATCATTTCCATTGAAACAAAGTACCAGTTTCAATCTTCATGACATTTGGAAGTGAAGATAGCTCATCTTTGAGCAGTTTGTCTCCAGTCTTTGAAGAATTCTAAACTTGTTGTCACGTGAAGGTGATGAAACACTCGATAAGGCAGGAGAGGAAACCAGAGAGGAAGTGTCATCGTGTGTCAACACTATAAGAACAGTGGCGATAAAGGTGATCTTACAGATGTACGATATCACGGTGGAAACTGCCCTTAAACCAGAAAAGGCAAAGCTGTTCTTTTTCGTTTTCAATCTTTTACACAAAAGTCATGTTTCCCAAACTTGAGCTCAGATATTACGCTGAGCGTCCAAACCAGGACGCCCAGTTCTCGTCCATCTGGGATGAGCTTTGGGACAATCTTGAAGGTTCTGACCCAAATATGAGCGAGAGAATGTGCAGGAACACAATTCATCTTCTGCTGCGTTTACAACTGCAGAACACTAAGCTGTTTGTCTGCCACCTGGGATGGAAACTTTCAGCAGCTATTATGATGAGAAGCTTAACCTCCATGTAATCCACTCATACTGACACACAGAGGCCGAACACCTGCACGCTGCAGCTTTGTCAACAGGCGCTCTGTATTTCTGTTTTTTATATCAGGATTATTGACATCATTCTGCAAAAAAAAAAGGTATCGGCCACATTTTTAGGAAGCCCAGCCTAAACGAAGGTTAGGTGTATGACCAAATTAGCAGAATGAAGCCACAGGAAGAGGAAATGATAAGAGATCACATAGTTTATGCAAAAGGAAGAGAACATTTAGCTCTGCTGCCGTTTCTGTGCACGAATGTTGCTGATAAAGTGTATTTCCTAGCCACTAACCCTAATCTAAATATGACAGATATCTGTCCAATCGTAATCATCACCCTAACTTTAATCTGATCCATATTCTAATCCAACCTCCAAATCTTGATTCTCAACATGTCCTCAGGACCTCAAACTGTCCCCACAACTGTAGTTTTTTCCCCCGCTCCGTTCTATTCTGTTCACTTTAACCCAAATCTCCAAAATAAAAGTCTACCTCTTCAGGCCCGGGCTCTTTGCCGTGCCGACTGTCAGACTTTAAGGTGCAAATATTAAGCGCTTTTCCTGACGACCACTCAGCGTTCTACTGACGGCTGATACTGACAACACGGCCCGTCGTGGAGTCGTTCCCACATCCTCTGGTTGTGTACAGCTGATCTCCTCCACCAACACACCACTGCGGCCCTCGGACAGGAGTCTGCTGTCCATCCCTCGAACCAAACTCAAAGGTTTCGTGGACAGTGTCTCTCTAGACCCGCCTTTTTACCATGGCAGTTCCCCGTCCGTCGGAAAACTCTCACTCAGCCTTTTTTCTGGTCGACTTTCGTGTTTTCTTTTGACTATCACTCAGCCCATACTTAGGTGAAGCACCTTGGGTTTCCTGAAAGGTGCTATACAAATCCAAGGTATTATTTTTTATATTATTATTATTATTATCCCCAGTTTTTTCCGTTTTTGTTTCATATTTCTATGTCAAAAAGTAAAATGAACTGCAGCAATCTAACAGGGATCTGACAGATCTTTACCCGTTTACTTGTTTGTTTGTTTTTTACCATTATATTTGAGTCTTCTTTATGTCATTCATGTTGCACCAAACACTTGACAGTTTGTGACATTGTTCTGCGACGTTTCCGTCTCTCAAGGGAAACTGAACAGAACGTTACAGGATGATTATTTACAACACATGAAACACACATAGTGAAACCATTGATGTGTTCTTGTCTTCCTCTACGTCAGTGTAGGTTGTAGGTTTTGAGGCCACCTCATCTCTGACCCTGCAGATGAAATGACTTACGCTGGAATTATTGCTTAATCTAAGACCTAGATCTCGAAGGACCTGAATTTGCCCTTTAAACTCACCCCTGACATTATGAACAAACACCTTCCCTTTTACCTAAAACTGCACTTTCACAACTAGTGGACAATCTTAACTATTTGAAAAAATTAAAGTGTTGTCTCACCCCTCCAGAGCTGTCACGTAGCCGTCCTGTTCTTCTTGGCCCAGATCCAGTGGTGTGAGACAGGATTCTTCCACAGTGAGTACCAGTGACTCAGGTGGAGGCGCAGGACGAGGAGAGGTGCAGCTCCCGGAGCATTCTCCCTCTGCAGAGCCCTCGCTGAGGCTTTTGACCTCCAGGGTGACTCTGGGGTTGGTGGGTTTCTAGACCCTGAAAGATCTCAAAGTGCAAGTTAGGAGCCAGAGCCTTCTTACCCCCCGTCAGTCAGTCAGTCAGTCAGGACCGCACCTGTCTCATGTGTCTGGATCAGTACTGGAGCCTGGATCCAATGTCCATCCTCACGTCGTGTCCCTCCCTGTCGCACCCCACCCCGACGACGGCAGGCTTTGGAAGGGAGCGGGATTAACGTCGCTTTCGATTACAAAGGCTGCCGGTGTGACGTCAGTCAGGCTTGACAGTTCTCTCTGATGAGTTAGCAGTTAGACCCGGTTACTGGTTATTGGTTGGTAAAATGAGGAGATGTTGGTGTTTGGCTCACACTGTTACTGGAGGCCGATCACGGGATGATCGAGATCACATCGTCTTTGACAACTTTTTACGTTACGTGTTTACTCAAATCCCAGTGGTTTAGTTCAACTTTCTCTCTCTCTCTCTCTGTCTCTCTCTCTCTCTCTTTGTCCCTCTCTATATATACTGTATGTCTCTTTCTCTTATTTTTCCCATTGTGTTTGCTGCTGCTCCACGAGTGGATTTAGATTTGGAAGACTCATGGAATTAGCTCAGGGATCAAGGGCTCATGGAGGGGGGGTTGGGGGGGGTGAATATACTGCATATATCCTACCATTGTAAAACAGACTGCGCACTATTATCAGCGATCCATAATCCCCTCTTATTCTAAAAGGGGGGGGGGGGGGTTTGGAGGAGGAGGAGTCAGTGCAGCACTTCAGCCTTCTGTGCTCCTGCAAAACTTTTCATGTCAAAAAAAAAAGCCAGCATGAAATGTTCCTCTCTGTGACATACGACTGCTGCACCATGATCACGGCTCTTCTGCCCGGCACAGATGCAACACAAACATGTAATATGATTTCACAACACATTACGCAATCTACTTCCTGAAACTGTCTTTGATTGTGAAAAGTTGCAGCAGTGTTTTTGACGTTGTCAAAATTTAACAGATGTGAACACAGGAGGGCAGTGTTTTTCCATTCCTGTCTTTCTCTGTCTCCGTAGAAATTGTCAGTAATTGACTAATTCAATTTTGAGTAATTCCATATTATTTCTGGAATATTTGCAGAAAGTAAACATTCAGAAGCATTTTAATGTGAAAAAAAACCGTATCATTTAATGTATTTGTGTTACGTACAAAAAATACAGAGAACAGGATTAGGGGACGTTGCAATAGCACCAGGACATTTTTGAAAATCGTGTAACATGACAATGGGGAAAATAAATGTACGTCCTCCAGTCGTTAGGGGGCACTGCATCTTTACCGTTCTCGGAAGTTGTGAAACGCTGATGCGCAGTTGCTGTTTTGAAATCATTGAACGCGGCGTGAGAAACGATTAACTGTGAAAACACATCCATTATTAGAGTTAATATTCTACCTATAGCTGATCCGGTATGGATATAGATAGCGGGGCATACGGACCAGGATTTGTTGGGATCCGGTTTTGTCAGGAATGGTGAGTATTTGAAGACTTTGGCGAAGTTAGCGCAGACGGCTAAGCTGTTAGCATCACATTTAAGCGCAGCGCTTTGTTTTGTTTGCTATTTATACTGTAATAATAATAATTGATAATATATTAATGACACTAGTACCATATCGTTGACTCTGTCCGACAGTAACAACATGCTGTATCCGAAAGAGGACAAGGAGAACCGGGTCCTGCTTTATGCGGTAAGAGAACAGCTAACGTTCACTCATTGCACTTGTAAAACCGGTGTTTTTGTTACTGGAAATGTATAGTCACAGCAACACGGTTGTTTTAAGACTCATCGAGTCATGAATAGTAAGCGTCGAAGTAAAATATCTCCAGGTAGGAGCTCCTACTTTGTCGACCTGCTCCTCAAACCTCGCCGTTCACCTGGTTTACTCCTTCATTCAGTGATACTTTTATTGATCACCGCTGCAGTTTCTTAATATTCTGTCCATCCTCTTTATGAAAGTCGTAGCATCTTTATTAGATCTCACAGGAGACTGGCTCTCCTGTTGTTAGACTGACTTTTAAACGTTCCTATCTTTTGCACTTTTATTTGACTTGTTTGTATTTATTGATTGTTTTCTTCATCCCACAGTGCAGAAACTGTGATTACCAACAGGAGGCAGATAACAGCTGCATCTACGTGAATAAGATCACCCATGAAGTAGAGTGAGTAAAACCCACTGACCTTATGAGCCACACGAAGAATTCGAGGCTGTCATGTTCATGTAAAAGTCACAAAAATAACATGGACACACTGCTCATCAATATCCTGTCAACTGTATTCTTGTATAGCTGGGTTTTTTATTTTATAAAAATATATTTTTGCGTCACCAATGGAAAATTTGATTGTGAGTTTTACACTTTTTTTTTCATTCTTTTTCACCTGTAACCATATCATTTCAATCCTCCTGCAGTGAGTTGACCCAGATCATTGCTGACGTATCACAGGATCCGACTCTTCCAAGGACGGAGGATCACCCCTGTCCCAAGTGAGTAAAAATTTAAATGACCTGTTGTATCATTACTTTAACCAATAGCAATTGTTACCAAGATGAAAAATGTGTGTGTGAATTCGACTGTGGAAAATATGGTTAGTCTGTATAAACGTAACATTAGTTTAACACTCACTCATATCACACACTGTTGCTTTAGTTTTATTTATTTATTTTTTTACTTCTACACCATATTAAAGACATTGTTTTTTTGAGTGCCTACATGTACATGCTTTAACATCCAATCACGAATGATTATGGAATGATTAACTGAATTTCACAAACTGGTTGCAAAACATATAGAAACACGTGAACATATGTTTGACTAGATAGCAGTTTTGTTTGGTTTTTTTTTTTTTTGGGCTGTTTTGAATTGTGTAATGTTGGCGTTGCGACAGCAGGGGTTGTGTTTTGACGTCGTGCTCAAACTGTGTGTCTTCCTAGATGTGGTCACAAGGAGGCAGTGTTTTTCCAGTCTCACAGTATGAAGGCCGAGGTAATAAATCGTGTCTCTCTTTTTTTTATCTAATTATATATACACAATACATATGTATACATTTTTTAAATGAATTTCTGTCCTTGACAGGATGCAATGAGGTTGTACTACGTCTGCACAGCGCCTCACTGTGGACACCGATGGACAGAGTAAAGGAGATGAAGACAAACATTTTATCTTTTACATGTGTTTTATTCAACGTTTCATTGGACAATTCCACTTCTAGGACTTAGTCGTTAACCCTCACTGCTGATGTTTGTGGGTTCTAAATTCCTCATTATGTAAAGTATCTGTATGACTCTAGCTTATGAATATATAAATATATATATTTAGTACTTGTTTGTTTTTTTATTAAAAGAATCAGTTGTTTAAAAGTCTGAGTATTTATTTCTGAATGTTTTCCGACCTGGTTTAAAAATTCCCATTGGAGCCTGTTTGTAGTCACTCAACTGCTTGGTGGGTGTTTTTTTCTATATATATTTATCTTCCTTTCAGTGATTATTGTTGTGTTCCTGTATTTCCTCACGCTCCTGTGATTTTTAATGTGCCTTTGAATGAGTTACATGTGATCTGAGGCAAAGACCTGGCACCTGTTGGCTGGTAATCCTGTGGACTCTTCTCTTTCAATACTACTTCCTCCTACTTTGTATATTCCAAGCCAGTTGTTGCGTAAGTGCAGCGTGTGACTCAGCTGACATGATTGACAGATCATGACTTGCTCTTCAAGGTGTACTTTCCGTGACCACACCTCCTGAAGCAGACGCCGTGATAAAGCGGCTGCAAACCTGCTGCTGGTCACTTGTCAGAAGTTGCAGCAGCAGAGGAATGGAGTCGCAGGGTACGACCTCTTCACTCACAACGGTCACTTCTGAATGAACTGCTTTTTTTTTTTGATTGTCTTCTCCATTGTCTTACAGTGACCATCATTACACGGACGCAGTGGGGAGCAGCTGAACCCAAGGGGAGGGAGAAACTGAAGAGTCCAGCAGGAAGAGCCATCGTCCACCACACGGCTCTGCCGGGCTGCTCCAGTCTGGACCAGTCCAAGAAACTGGTCCAGAGCATTCAGAGAGGACACATGAACGACAGAGGCTTCGATGACATTGGATATAAGTTAGTCACAACTTTAACACTTCACCGATGCTAAAGGTTATTTTGTGGAATGAAATGTTTTTAGCTGCACAGGATTTGCAATATTTTCTGTATTTTTCCAGTTTTCTGGTGGCGGCAGACGGTGTGGTGTTTGAAGGCCGTGGATGGGGTGTGGTAGGGGCACATACCAAGGGCAGCAATCAGGACTCATTGGGCATCGCCTTCATGGGAAATTTCAACAGTAAGTAAATGTTTAACGATTTTATGTTTTTGTCAATACAAAAATTATGGCGGGCAAATGATTAGGAGACGGAACTGGAGTCGGGAATTTGTGATAAGTGTGTGTGTGTGTGTGTGAACAGTGTCAATATTTACACTGTAACTAGGTGATCATGAAGGGCGTACTTAAATTCCAAAAAAATCTCCATTTTCTAATTCAGGTTTCAAAATCTTATAGGTACAGGGCATGCAATTTAGCAACATCTAGTGGTTGAGTTAAATGTTGAAGTTCATCTGATGATTCAAGGACAAGAGTGTTCAATAACTTCTTCAATGGAATTCACACAGGAAAAGATTGTTTTATAATATAAACTTTTACATTAACATTTTATAATTAATACTTGAGTTGCGTTTTGGTCTAAAACATTTCCTCAGGCCTGAGGTTTATTACAAAGCATGAAACAGTCATTGGGATAAAAAAAAAACAAAACATGGTTTCACTCAGACTGCAGCGTTAAAATTGTTAATGTGTATTTTTTTTTTCTCTTCATTTGTTTTAGATGAGTCTCCAAACAAAGCAGCTCTGATGTCTGTCAAACAGCTGCTCCAGTCTGGAGTGTCTCAGGGGTTTTTATGTCCAGGCTTCACTGTCCTCGGACACAGAGATCTGGGAAGCACTCAGTGTCCTGGAGACAAGCTTTATGCTGCACTTCCACAGCTGAGCTGAACTTTAAAAGTATAGCGCCACCAAGCGAAGCTTTATAGATGTAACACTAAAAATACAAAAAGATTATCAGTGGAGAGTTTACTTTAATATACTTGAAAAATGATGCAGAGGTTGAGATCCAGCTCCAGACATGAAGTTGTGATAAGATCGTTAGCAGAGGTGTAAGGAGGTCAGATATTAGTCAACGACTCCTGGGGTCACGTAACAAGGCTTATTTTGTCAGACCGAAGGGGCGACCTATTTGAAGTCCTGCAGTCAAAGTCCAATATACTTTCTAATTTAATTGGTCTTTTTTTTTTTCTTTTTTTTAACTTTGTGTTTTGTGTCTGGAGCTGATTATTGACAACACTTTAAACAAAATAAACTGAATTGTGTCTTTAACACTACATTAACTTTACATTATGAAAGTGAATTTAGAAATCACTCAAAGTTGCTTTATGTTATGACGAATATGTTTTATAACCTTCCGTGAAATTTAAGGAATGTTTTTGTCAATAAATACCAATTATCTGTCGTACTGAGAGTGAATTTAGATTCCATATTAAAACTGTGTTCTTTACTGAATGCCATCAAGTAACTCGCACTGTTGGTGGAAATTTAAAAAAAATTGTGCAACAAATTAGAGTGGGAAGTGACGGTCAAATAATGCTAGTTAAACTGAGTCAGAGATTAAGGAAGGAACGGTGAACTTCCCACAGCCACAGTAACATTCCTGACGAGTACTTACACGCATGAGAGGTGAAATAAATGCTACGTCGATAGTTCAGGTCCACGTTGTCTGTAAAATAATAATATTATGACTCAAGCGCTGAATTAAAACAAAAAAACTTTCTAATGTGTCACTTTCCTTATAGGCAACACCTCGTTTGCTCATCTAAAATGTATTTACCCCAGACAGAACTGAATTTTGTAAAAATAAATAAATAATTCAAAAAGAGTTGAACTAAAACATAGAAATAATCCAATTTAAATTAATACAAATTATTATATATTTTACCTTTGATTTATTAAAATTGGTTTAACGTTTTGAGACATAAAATCTGACCAGGTGCTACATTTTTCTCTGGGCGAGCCCTTATAAACACCTACTACGTCCAGCAGCCCTTTCTTCCTGGTGAACTCAAAACTCAAATGTTACAAGCAGACGACAAATTGGTTGCAAATTCATCATGTTTGTTCATGTAACAGGATACCTGGTGGAAATCAACAGCTCAATTAGACGATTTTAGTTTAGTCTACAGGTTCAGACAGGCAGTGATGGCAGTGTGTAACATTTAATATAATAGAGTTACTGCACATGTAACATGAGATTCACACTTTTTCAAGGTTAACAACTACAGCAACACTGGGTTTATTTATGTAATTTCTTATAAATACATATACTATATTACTTTCACATGTGTAGTCTGGTTTACCTTGAGTTGAATCCAAAAAACAAAATATATAAAAACCTAAATATATGGTATGCTGTTGTAATAGATTTTTTTAAAATTCTTAATAATACATTTTTGAAAAAAGTGAAATTATACCCATGAATTAAAGTCAAATGTAGCCCTTCTGAATAAGGAGTAGTAATTTTGTTTTTCCGTGCTAATCTACTTCTGTGGAAAGCTGCCCTTTGTTTTGTTGTTTTTATTGTTGTTGTTTTTCTTTCTTCCGTGAGTAATTAAAATGGTTGGAAACATTCGTCAGTGAATAAGAGGCAATTTGACCGCGGAGCTGATGTTTAAACCCAAGGTTTGAAAGAAAATTCAAGCTAACGGTGTACGCAAGGTTAGCATAGCTTAGCCAACATTCATACAAAATGGTTGATCATGAGCGCCATATCCTTTAATAATACCTTCTTTTTAATTTTCTTAACATAACGTATGAAAAATGGAAGAAAAGGTGGCTTCGTTTGGAAACATTCGTCATTTTAGCATCAAACCACACTTGTTTTGGGGAGTGATAGAAAACTCTCATAGAAAAAACAGACTCTAATTTCTTTTTTTAGCAGCGCCTAGCTGTGGAATCCGCTGTACTTCACACTGACATTATCGTCTGTTTGTTTGTTAATTAGATTTGGGTTTGGTTTGTTTTTTTTCTTTTGTTTTTTTTTTTTGTTAATTAGATTTGGGTTTGGTTTGGTTTTTTTTTTTTTTCAACTCTGTCACCTGTCTGTATGAATGGCTGTGAGTCTGGAGTTGCCAGATCGGGTGAGGAGAGCACAGGACGAGTCCAGCCCTGAGGACAAGGCCTGTGTTTGAGGGTTGAATTTCCTCAGTGACGGAAGTGTTCTAATGACGCCTGGAGTTCACGCATGAGTCACGGTGATTGACAGCTCCTGCCGCGGTGTTTACTCACTGGTTTTACTGGAACTTCAACTGTTTAATTCAACTGTATCTCCTCATTAAATGACGGCAGTCTCATCAATATAGAGCTGGGACGTAGAGATTACAGGTGTTTGTTTGTTTTTTAAAGAAAGAGTAGAGTCATTTCAGCGAGTAGTGATAACGAAAAGAGAAAATTTCATTTTAACTGGTTTGTTTTGGGTCGTTTTATAAACACTTGTTAAAATTACGTTAGATTGTATTTCATAAGTAGTTTCCCACATTTTCTTGAAAAAAAGTAATCTTAAATGATTCCCCACAGATTCATAGATGCAATATTAATATTAATTCATGCACAGATTATTCTAATAACTACGGAAGGTCATGGGGGGAGTAACCGTTTCTGGTCCGTCATAAAAATGACTTAAATGTGGGGTTTAAAAGGTTTTTTTAAGCAAAGCGTTTTTAAAAGTTTCCTTTCCAAGGAAAATACGACACGACTTTTTGACTTGAGAAAAAAAAAGATGCTGCTGTTCAAAATAGAACAGTGATTCAAGGGAAGTTTTCGAATCTTCTACAATTATAGAATGCGTTTTATCTCGTCATCAGAGACTCACGGAACATCCTCGGAGGACTGGAAAACGAAGAATACCAAACAATCCTTGAATGGAGATGAGACAAAGGAGTGAAGTTGGAACAGCTTCCCAGACACTTGACACTCTGGGCCGGGTTGGTTGTACAAAAAACAACCTGGAGAAATGAACCCTAAAAATCCGTCATATGAGACATGGTCAGGACTTTCTGATCACACAGACGGACACGTCCAAGTTCACAAAAAGGAGGAGAGGAGTGGGTTTAATGACGTGGAGAAGGAAAAGCTCGAAAAGATGGAGATTTAAAAGAAAACATCAACAAAATAAGAAGCAAAACTCAGTCTTGTGGCAGGACAACGATCCCAAAAGACACTTCCAAATCTGTCCAGAATAAAAGTGAAGTTAAGTTTTAACAAAAGCTCCCGGTGGAGCTAAACTTTAAACACAACTTGGTTTAAGTTGTAAGTTTATTGGGTCTAAAATCAGTTAAAATGTTTGTCTGAATCTTTGAATCTCTGAATCTTTCTGCTCTGTATCACAGAACTGAACTACTTTTTTTTTCTTTGGATGAAACGCGTCCTGCTGGCTTCCTGTGATCATGCGCATTAGTTGTGTCTCGGTCTCTGTCTCTGGCCAGTGCGTCTTTTTTTTTTTTTTTTTTGGCCCCTCGCCACTTGGAATCTGCGCTCCTTTGGTTCCTCAGGACTCAGACTCTCAGACAGACAGACTCTCTGCCATCATCACTGAACTACTGCCGAGGTGCAGGGCAGCTGTTTAATCCCTGAGATGGAGGATTTAAAAACTTCGGAGCGATTATTCCACAAGTCTTCGTTCAGCATCACTAGTCTGCTGTGGAGACGAGAAGGGAAGGTGAGTGAGCCGGAGCCGGCGTCTGCGTCCCTGAAGCTGCGCTCTGCACATCCGGAGAAATCCAGCCAGGAAGGGAGCGACAGTTCCAAACAGCGCGGCAAGACAGAGAGTAAAGATACCGGCGGAAGTCGAGAAGGTGGCGGGGAAAAGTCGAAGGAAAGTGGAGGCAGCGGAGACGGTGTGAAAACAGAGAAGCCTCCGTTCAGTTATAACGCCCTCATCATGATGGCGATCCGTCAGAGCCCGGAGCGCAGACTTACGC